CAGAGCGAGAGAAGAGGCGGTGTCTCTCGCCAAACGGGGAGGGCGGGCGCGCAGACTACAGCCGCTCCGGTTTCTCCCGCAGCAGCAATTACAGCAGCTGTGAGAGCTAGTTGTCCGCAAAATACGGACGCGCACCTACCCTCGCGAGATTTCGGGCGGGGGCCGGTAAAGCGTGGGCGGGGCGAAGAGGGGGCGGGGGCGGTTCCAGCAGGGCAGTGCTCGGATTTCTTCGGCCCCAGAAGCCTATCAAAACGGCGCAAGCGCGTTGAGGGCGTTCAGTGAGGGCCGGAAGTAGCCTAGAAGGGTGGGGCAGAGCTCCAAAGGGAGGAGTCTAGAACCTGCGCAGGAGCGGCGTGGTACCCCGGCTTTGAGGGAGCGCTCCCCGACGTAGGTGGTGGTTCGGAGAACCTTTTACCCACTAACTCTACAGTTCCTGAGTGAGGCATTTTCAGAGGGGTGATTTTTTTTTTTTCTTAAGAGGAAATAGGAAACGTTGGCATTGTGGTTTGCATTTGCATTTACATCGTCTTAATTTCTCCAAACCCTGAATAGCCCACCCTAGGGCATAGGCAGGTCCACCGCCTCTAGCTTTACTAGAATGGCGTACCCTATTTACTTACAATATCTCTAATTGAGATCCCTAGATATGGTCTTGTGGGCCAAGGGGTGGGGTCCATTATAAATGTGGGGAGTGTACCAGTTCCAAGGAGTAATGATGGATTTGTTGTTGGAGCTGAGCCAGTTATGGCCTCCGGTTATTTTTTTCTCTATAAATATCTGTTGCTGCCCACACCTAATGTGAAGGAAATTCTTATATACTGTCCAAGATGTGCATCAGTCAAATGGTAAATGCTATATACTGAGCAGATATCCTTGCAAGGCTAAGAGCAAGTAACTATATTCTGATTCTCAACTGCCCAATATCAAGTGATGAAAATAAGTACTTTATAAAAGACTAATATGTTCTTTCTTAAACAACAGATCATTGACAATCAAAGTGATTACATTAACTTTCTATATGATCCTGAAGTACATTTATTTTTATTTTTCCCATTGGCATGGCAGAAGAGCTCTCTGAGCTGTTTGGGCAGCCTCAAGTATTGCTAAGGATGGCTGCAGAAAAGATTGGCTTGGGACAGGGGTATGGCCACAGAACGGCCCAAATAGGACTGTAGATTCCTCCTTGTAAAGCAACCAGGAAAAGATCTGGCATTGTCTGGCAGACTTGTGTAAAACCAAATGCCAGGTATTGTGTACTGTAAGACGCCAGGGAGTTCAGGGAAAACACTGCATATTTAAATATGGTAATATTTCTTGCAGCAAACCATACAATTATTCATACTGGGTAAATAAATATCAGTAAATAGCCTCATTCAGTTTAGGTCAGATACTGCCAAATAAGTGTAAGTTAGATCAATTTGACTGTCAAATGAGTTACTAAAAAAATACAAAATAAAATTTTTTGGTTTCCAGAGCTTTTTGTATTTCAGAATTGTAGGAAAGGGATTTCTAAACCATTGTAAGGAAATGACTTTGGTCACACTCCAGTAATTGTTAGTTTTTAAACAGGTTGATTTCCCAGGTACAAGAATGTATCTTAAAGTACTAACTTATTATTTCGTTGCTCACTAGAAAAGATGATTTTTTCTTATGAATTATGGAGAGATATAAATAAATAACCTACCTGAATTTATTATCTTCCTAGTTATCTAGTATAAAATTTATATTTGCTTTAAACTTTAAAGTTTATTATCATGTACTGTTCTAGGTGCTGAGGACAATTCAACAATGAAGAAGACAACTTAATTCTTGTCTCCAGGAGCTCACAATCTAGGAATGAAGACAAACATGGAGTCCTAATCTGGTGCTTTTTTCACTATACATAACACCTCTCTTGGACCTCTTAAGGTACCTTAAACATTGTACTTAGAAAAAAAGTCAAAACAGAATAGAAATAATAAGTTGATAATATTTTTAGAGCTATTAAAGTTGTTTATTAAATTTTTTTAGTGGTATGAGAAAGTGAATTTTTCTGGGAACGTTAAAACCTATACGTACCTTCTATCATCCTTTTTTTAAAACAATTAAATTTATTGGGATAACAGTGGTTAATAATATGATTATCATCTTTTTTAAAGGTCTGAAAAGATGTGTTTGTTTTGCTTGCGAAATCTGTTCTTGAGTGTTTAAAGCAGCAGGTTTTAGGTTTCGTCCAAGGCAGTGGTTTTGAAACTTTTCTCCGTTTTAGAAATGAAACCCTTTAATCAAACCTATTTCATGCAAAAATCCATGTCATAAAAATAAAAACTTCTCTAGTTGAAGCAGTGATAGTTCAGATCACTGCCTGCTTGGCCATCTCTAAGCCTCCATAGACTACTCCCAAGGCTTTATTAATAAAAAAGAAAGTGAAAATTATTGGTCCAAAGAAGGGGTTGGCAAATTATGGAACGCTGGACAAATCTTTAATGCTGTCTGTTTTTATAAAGTTGTATTGGAACACAGCAAGGCCTATTTGTTTATGTGCGCCCCACGAAGCCTAAAATAATTTCTCTCTAGCTCTTTACAGAAGAATGTTGCCAACCCTTGATCCATAGGATAGTATTTTCTAGGGTACCCCAGAACTGAAAGTACTCATTATTTGAATCAGTTTCAAAACAGAATCATACTTACAGATAATAATGAGGATAATGCCTTTTCCTACCTGGCTTGTTCACAATGATTTAAAAAACTACACAGGTCTAAGACTAAGGTGGGTTTGAGGAAACTTTATATACTTCCTTATCTGCATAGCATAAACTCTCCTTAGGAGAAAAAAAAAAGCTGGAGTATGGATCAACTTTGTGGTGTGTTTGCTCTCTCCTATTGGAAAGAATACAAACTGGCAGTATCCTTGCGGCCAGTTTTGTTCCAACGCATGGGTAATCACTCAGAACATCACTGACAACACTGTAATGCATGTGGGCTTTTAATGTATGGGTTCGGTGATCTGAGATACAATATTGACATGAAAAGATTTAATATTGAAATCTCTGTGAGAGTTTTTATGGATTTTGAAGTATCATAATTAATGAAAAAATCATTTTGATGCTGGCCAAAATTTGCCAGAGCCCAGAAAAATGTCTACAATCATCAACCATCAAAACGATTTGAAAGGTCAGCTATGTTACGGATTATGATAGTAAGTCATTTCTGTTTGGCTTTGGAATCTTCACATCTTTTTCAAATGAACCTCACCTTCTTAATGATGGTTTGTTTATGTTAATATTGAAATGAAATTTTAATTTCTGAGCACACAAGAACTGAAAGTTAGAGAAAGATAGTCTACATATGTGTTAAGAGACACAGAAAGGCCACCCTGGAATTTAAAATGTGTTACTGTTGTGTGATGGAATATTAAGTAGCCGTATATTACTGTTCAGGACTCTGGAAGAAAGCCAACTGGAATTATCTTAAACAATTAAAAAGTGAATTTATTCACTTGCATAATCAAATACACACTGATATAACATTTGCCTGTTCCTTTTGTGATTAAAATATTAGAGAACAATTTGAGAATGAGGTAAATTTTACATTTGTTTATGTGCAATTTTGTTATTGAGGAACACTAAGTGAAAGCAGAAAATTACACCCACCTGAATTAAGTCATTTAGGAATACACAAAATATGCACACCCCTCCCCACGTCTATATATCAAACATCTAGCTACCTCAGTTCTTTCCCTCTGATTTCAGATAACCTTTCTTCCATCGCTTTGCAATAACTCACAAGCATAACCCACTCTCATACCCATTTCTGCAAGCAACTTTCAGGTTTTTTTTTCAAAATAGAGTGCTGTATCTATTTTAGTCTTTATATATTGCTTAACCATTTAACATGTGTAAGACTCTGCTACCATTTTTATTAGGTTTATATCTTTGTGTGTGTGTCACAAAATTTTTAGATGTACTATTAGTCCCATTTCCCCTATAAACCCAGTGAGTTTTTATTTTATTTTATTTTATTTTTTAATCCTGACCTGAGGATATTTTTCCATTGGTTTTTAGGGAGATTGGAAGAGAGAGGAAAAGACAGAGAGAATCATTGATGTGAGAGAAACACATTGATTGGTTGCTTCCGGCATGAGCCCCATGAGGGCCCAGGCTGATGCTCTATCTACTGAGCCAAACTGGCTAGGGCCCAGTGGGTTTTATTGAGCAAATCAGTGCAGTGATTTTTTTAATTAAATCTTTATTGTTCAGATTATTACAGTTGTTCCTTTTTTCCCCCCCATAGCTCCCTTCCACCTGGTTCCTACCCCACCCTCTGCCCTTAACCCCCACTGTCTTCATCCATAGGTGTACGATCTTTTCCCAGTCTCTTCCCACATCCCCACACCCCTTTTCCCCCGAGAATTGTCAGTCCACTCCCTTTCTATGCCACTGATTCTATTATATTCACCAGTTTATTCTGTTCATTAGATTATTTATTCACTTGATTTTTAGATTCACTTGTTGATAGATATGTATTTGTTGTTCATAATTTTTCTTTACCTTTTTCTTCTTCCTCTTCTTAAAGGATATTCTTCAGCATTTCATATAATCCTGGTTTGGTGGTGATGAACTCCTATAGGTTTTTCTTATCTTTGAAGCTCTATATCTGACCTTCATCCTATCTTATAAAAGAGAAACATGGTAATTGGTGTATGACCGCTACCCTTCCTATTGGCTAATCAGGGCGATATGCAAATTAACTGCCAGCTAAGATGGCGGCCGTTAGGCAGGTGGCTTGAAACTAACATGAGGCTTGCTTGCTTCAGTGACGGAGGAAACCAAGGTTCCCCGCCTGCTTTGCCGGCCTCTGAGCTTGCAGTTTGAAACATTTTAACAAATAC